ATGTTACTTTGAGTTTTTGGTCTTTGACTGTGTCACTGTTTACATGCAGATCTTCTCTGATATTAGATTTGTGTTGTAATAAACATATACGTTCAAGTAAGGACAACTGTGGCTCATTGAGGTTATTATTTTATTCATCTTCTTATTCATTCATCTTTTATTCAAGTGAAGACAAAGTCAAGGTTTTTTCCACATCAGCTGTGTTATTGCCACTTTTACTCCAGTGTTAAGTTCTTTCACCACTGCTAATATGTCTTGAATAAGTCTTGAAAAGACCCCAATAAATGTAGAAAGAGAATAACATTACAACTTGAAATTAAGCAATACAGAGATACTGTACAACACTAATTGAAAGCAGAGAGAAGAGCTAACTCACTTCCACTGCCAGAAAGTAACAGTGAGACATCCAGCAGAGTAAACAATATATAGTTCGCAAGAAGGAATAAATTAAGTTGAAATTTGGGTAGAAAAAATGGATTTAAGTTTTTAGTATAAAAAAACTAAAATAATGTTCTTTACAAGAAAGAAGATTATAAAAATATACTAATTTTGTAATGCAAATCATTTACAAAAGCTCAACTCAGGATCAACTAAAGATTCAGAGCCAAAACCAAAGAAAAAACATCCCAAAAGCAAAAGTCACACCAGCAATGAATAGAACTGGGAGACTGACTATAATACTCACACAGGTAAAAGGTCTTACACATGTGACACTTGTGGCAAAAGCTACATAATTACAAACTGACACTTTTTGTAGAATCAACTGAATAATAACATCACCGTAAATGATAAAACTCCACAGCAACTGCTGCCCACACACACAAACACACACACAGACCTATTGAAGCAAAGAAGAGACACTGCAGTGAAGTCACTTTCAGGTTGGTTATTTGACACACATGTAACTGATTGATTGAGGTTAGTGCAAATATGTTTTCGATGAAAATTGATACATAAAATTGTAAATACATATATTTGGGAAGATCCATAATTAATTTTATTTAGATGCATATATTTGTGTGAATTGAAAAAAACATATTTTGTGGGGAGCAGCTCAGTCTGTACTCACTGTACGAGTGAAAGGGAATTCTTTTTTGTAAATAAGAAAGACATTTATAAATCATTCTGGTGCACCATTGTAATCTGATTCCATAAATAACAAATCCACTGGCACTTTAAAAAAATTTTAATGCTTTAATCCAACAACAATCCGTCATCCACATTACACCATCAGTATAACAGCCACTACTGTGCACTTCCCAAAATACAGAAGACTGATTGTTCTGAGAAACGCTGATGTTCAAACGTACTGTAATGTATGAAAATACAAAGCTGAAACCTTGTGTGAGTTCATGTGGACCAACAAGCCAATAATACCTGCATGGATTCTTCATTCAATGTTTATTGTCTGACTGAATCTTTTCCCATGTTTTGCAAGAATATGGATTTATATAGATGCTCTGGTGTGTTTAACTTTAAAGTTAACTTAAAGTTCTCCCATGTGACGTTTTAAAGACGCGTTACAGTGAATCTAACACAGTAAAATCATACACTGTTAGCGTGATTATTGCTGTTTCTGATATCTCGTGTGTAGTCTTAGATCGGCCTTTTCATGTCATACATCGATGCTGTTCTTTCAAATGAACTGGCATCAACTAGCACCAATTCTTAATTCTTCAGGTTTCTTTGTTTACTGTACAATGATTCTGCACTTTAAGTTATGTTATATTTTAGTAATGTTTTAATTTTATATTTAAACTTTATTCTCTTCTTCTATTTGTGTGTTGTCTAAAGGGGAGTTGGGCAAAGTAAGTTTTTCATTGTACGTATAAACCACTGTGTTTCTTACTGTACATATGACAATAAACCTCTTGAATCTTGAATTCTGATAATCAGTTAAGTCATTTATCAAACAAAAAACCTTGGCTTTTAACCTGTTGGTGAGACACATGAATGAGCTACTGCATAAAATAGCAAAAAGAAGGCATGTTCGTATTTAATAAGACTTCTTACAGTATTCTGTAA